GTGCTTAGGTTTTTGTAACCACTTATCCATCGTAGTTTGTTAACAAAATGTGGAGTTGGATTGCAGAATATTGCAGCCTTATAAATATCAGTACACTATCTGCTTATGTTCATCAAAATCACAATAGGAAGTATAATCCTTACGCAAAAATACTTTGGGATTGAACATAAAAAGGTCTATTTGAGCTGCAGGCACAGTAAAGTGCTTTTTTTTTTTCTTCAGGAGTCTCCTTTAGTTTTCTGGTTTAGTGACGGCAGCTTAGAGCCTGGATTTTGTCAATTTTGGTAAAATTCAAAACATAAAGTTACTCCTATAGCATTGTGCGTGTGATGTTCAAATTTTTCTGCTGCATCTCAGCCCCTGTTTCCTTTGAGTAGCATTACAGAGTAAAGAAAAGGACAGAACTGTAGTCGCGTAATGACAAGATCCTTTTTCAAATTTTATGTTTAGGTGAAGCAAAGTTGGAAAATTTGGTAGATTTCTCTTTAAATTATATTTTAGCAACACAAAGTGATCATTTGAGAGATACAGGATGATTTAAGTCCATACAACTTAAAGTCGTGGTATTAATGTCACATTGTTAACTCAATTTGGATGAACTTTTTTCAGTTGTGTGTTATCAATTTAAACAATACATCGTTGATCCAACATTTCCCTTTTCTCTGAGTGTACTAAATGAAAAAGAATATAAAAGAACATCAAATGAACAATTTTTCAACTTGCTTATCTTATCCATTCCCTCTTATCACTCTTACTTTAGAGTAAGAATTGCTAGTTAACCATCTCAAATACATGCAGCGCCTTCACAAACTGTCCTGTAAATGTGTTTGGATATGAATATAAATGTGTAAAGACATTCTGTGTGGTGTGACCAGTGAAATCATGTAGGATATTTCTCATGAATACAGTAATCTGTCATATACAGCTGCTGAAACTTCTAATACCTCTGCAAGGGAAAATGCACCTTTAATGCAGGAATAGCAATGCTGCAATGATAGAGGGATGATAGAGAATTGCAGGAACTGAATTAATGCAAAATAATCATTTGTGAAGTGCGGATACATAAAACCCTATAAATTTAGGTTAATTACTGTACAAGGTGGCTGAGAATCTCTGTGTAACATGAGTGTCTCTTTGCATGAACCAGCAAGATGAGGTTGACACGATGACCTCACCGCTGCATCTGAAGACCAGAAACAGCGCTGCCTCCATAAGGCCAAGTCAAAGGCAGGATATTCCCAGAATGCATTTCACAGGGGTCAATATGCTAATTTTAGCACGGCAGCCAATGGCAGTAGAGGAGTTGTGCTCCACATACAGGAGGGGCTGGATCAGGTTACTTTGTGGAGACACGAACAGCGTACGTGCAGCAGTTAGGGAGTGGACGGCGGACTGAACTGGGCCTGTCGGGCTGAACCGTCCCTCCTCATATATGTCACAGCCCCCTTTTCTGATCCACTATAGATGCCATAAGTATTGATCATGTGACTGCTCTCTGGGGGGCGGTGGGGCATGCCTGCTTGTAATAGGAATCCTACACGTCTGTCAGGGCACATCTCTTCACACATCATAACTTTGGGAACAGTAGTAAATCCATCATCTCCCCCATGACCCAGCGTTTGAACCTGAAGGCAGAACAGGACCATCCTTGGGCAAAGTGTACAGTGTCTGAAGTGGCCCACAGGAATGCACTCCAAGCACTCTCCTGTTCCCTGGCAGCTTCGCACACACTTTTGTAGCAAACGTTTAAATAGGTGTTATGTCACTTTGTGGTTTTGCCTTTTGATGACATGCATCCAAATATAAAAAATAACCCGCCTGTTATTTAATTATACCCCCACACCTTATTTCTACTGTATAACTCCTGATATATGTGCATGTACCACAGTATCAGTTCCTGTGTGCCAGATAGCTGCAGCTCAGAATATTCTGTTCCCTCCTGTCAAGACCAGCCTCCTGGTTAAGTAATGTGATTAATAAACCATGAGTCGACTGAGGCGCGGTTCTATCCTCAGAGCAGGAGTGGGTTTGCATTTTGGCACCCCGCAGCTGAAGCCATATCCATTCATAGATGCCTCTGCGGACCCTGCAGAGGCCAAGAAAGCACACATATCATTCAGCATGTAAGCGCTTGGGGCCTGAGGGAATGGTGCAAACCCTGGAAATATTGTACCCCACACTGGTGTCACATATGCACATGTTAATGAAGACTTAGCACAGTCGCGGCGACTAACGACGCTCAAAAGTGATGGTGGAGAGGAGATCAGACAGGTACAAATTAAGGGATATTAACAGCTAGTCCTCCATATAAATACATTCAAAACATGCGACACACATGCACAAACAAACTCACAGAAAGTGCAGGCAGGCGGATAATGAAGTTGAACACTTGATCTGGGACTCAGTCTATACGTTAGTCTGTGCTAAGAACAGAGATGAAAGCTTGTGAGCTGGTGGCAGGCCGTCGGCGTTAGCCGCAGTGTCAGGTGTTACAGATTCCCACATGGATCTGATGTGCCGTTTGGTGTTCCTGTGAACTTCCTGTCAAAATTCAGATCCGCATAATCCGCCCTGTCGACAGCAGTTGCTGTGAACTAAGTGAACCCGATGTATACCGCCCTGCTCTTGAATTTAAACCTTTATAATTTGCTCAGCTTGTCCCCATTCGCCTGCTGGCAGGTGAAAACCTCTGCAAAGTGTCAGGCTGTCAGGGGCGGTGAAAATGATGACAGTGCACCATCTGACATCCATGAAAGAGGTCAAAAAGACAACAACAGAGATACAGAGTTATAGTTATTTGTGACTTAAAAAAAATAAAAAAATAAAAAAATGAAAAAATAAGTCACGAAAGCCACATGACCATGAAACTGGCTCAATAAAATGGATTCCAGCTCTATCACTTGTTAGTTAATATTATTAGTCTCACCTGTATGATGCTTACTACAAGTTCAAACGTTTTGCCTGTTTGTAAATTCCTTTGTTGATTTACATTTTAGAATATTTTTGCTGTAGGTTCTGGAGCAGTTTCCATTTGTTTTGCAGTTAGACAGAGTAGGAGTGACACATACTGAGGTGACAGAGACTAGGAATGACATATAAGCCCTGATCCAAACTGGGAACTTGCAGTGAGTCTAATGAGCGCCGTCTGTTCTCTGCTGCCAGGACTCCCCCACGTCTCTGAACTTTTTTTTTCTGCACAACCATCATTTCAGGTATGATGTAAAAAATTAGGCTGGTTTCATCAGCCCTCTATAGTTGAGAAGCTTGAAACATCAATAGTGTCATATACTGATGGGATCCCTTGTGGGTAAGAGTCTTTTTTTTTTTTTTTTACTTTTTAAATTCAATTCATTAGGTGGAGGACAGTTGAGAGCTTTTCGGCAAACTACAAACAAGTAACCTTGCAGTTAAAGAGAGCAGCAGAAGAAGCGTGTGAGCAGTGAACAGCGTGACTTGAAACCATGCAATTCTCATTACGGTTTTCCTTTTAAACAATATGCATCCTCTGAAAGTTTAGGCGATGATTTAAATTCTGACAAAAGGAGATGTATAGCAACCAAGATGTTGGAGACAATACAGTAAACAACACAGTAAACTATCTCACTTTAAAAACAGCAACAACAAAATGGATAGAAGACAAAGCAAGCATTTTCTTGGTGGAACTAAAAGCAAAAATGACCCAACTAACCAGTAACCACAAGGAACCTATTCGTCTTTCAACTCCTTTGTGTCTGTTGTATATAGGAAATAAATTAATGCAGTAAATCTTTTCATTTGTAGGTATTCCTCTGCTGTGTGGGAGTCAGGAAGCAGCCAGTGCCTACTGATGGTTTATTTTATTATGGGCAGACATCAGATAAAAAAAAAAAAAAAAGCACAGAATAAATGTTTAATAAAGTGTGCAGATTGTAAGAGAACTTCCCCAGAAATAAAACTACAAAACTTGAAATTGTGTTTTCATATTAAATATGTGCAAAAATGTTTAAGTGTTTTTTCAGACTATATATAATAAGGCTTCCTTTAAATTACGATAAGCTTTCATTAATCCCACAAGGGGGAAATTTGCATTATGACAGCAGCAAAGGGGATAGTGCAAGAAATATTAGTAGAAAAATGAAAACAAACACAAAACATACACAAGTACAAGTTCATACAGTTCATATTCCTCGATGTAGGGATAATAAAGTTGTGAATATTTATAACATTGCACAGATTTTATCTATATTGCGAAGATTTGTTCATAAGTAGAAAAGTAGTCTTGCATATGTAGAAATAACGACAGCGCAGTTTTTCCTAAACGTTTACTCTAAAATAAGGCATGAAGAAGGGTTAGATAAACATTTAAAGCTTTTATACCTTTACAAATTCAATTTCGCATTGATTCATAAAGGTATAAATTCAGTTTGTGCTGTTGGCTGAACAAAATCAGTCAACCCAGACTTCATTTTTTATTTTTCCTGAAATAAATGGATAATCAACAGCTTCATCCACCAAACACATCTGAACATTTACACGCTACTGTATGTTGTAATTTATGTTCTAAACTAAGCCTTTTAGTGTCACTTAAAGTCCACCATATTAATAAACCGCAGCCTCCATGTGTTAACCTTTGCATTTTTGCATCACACGCAGTCGTCATAAGATCTGCACCAACATGAGATTGACCCGATAAATGCATCCGGGGTGTGGAGACCTTGAATAAGTACAAGTTATGTCATTCAATTAACTCTTAGATAATGGAAAATGAAACTGATATCCCCTGATGTAGTGGCAAAGGAGATCACAGCCAGATGGCACTAAGTTTCCATGCAGCTCTGTCTGAAGTCTGTCCTCTAGTGGTTTAAAGTGAAATCACTGATCCTCACACAGCAGAAGCCTCCTAATCATGTCGACTCTACCAAGACCTGATTAACATTTCAGAGTCTGAGGCCAATAAAAGCACACAGACGTTTTTCCTTTTGGGCACATTGGCAACAAATCTGCAGATGAAAGAAAGAGAATCACTTAACAAAATCCTTTTATTTGCTCTTTAAAGACAAAGCAAGTGAATTTACAGTGTGGAGTGTTTCTTCCAAAGCGGTACAAAATCTTAATCAAAAGTACACAACTTCTTCTGTGGGGCTTGTAGGATCTTTCAGCACAAAGACTCGGGTTGCATTAAAAAGCCAGATAAATAAAGGAACAAATATTCTTGCTGGTTAGTTAACAGTCTGGCATCTGCTCTTGTTTTCACTCCCCGTTGTCAGCGACGTCCACGCTGACGCTGTTGTCCATCTCCTCTGTGTGGTCTTCGTTGACACTGGGGTCACCATGGTTACTGTGGTCACTGTGGTGATCGGTTTCGTGATTCAGCTGTGCATATTCCACCGACACCTGTCGAAATATGAGGCTTGTATGAGACAAAAAATAGCCCACGCTTGTGGCGCAGCGCTGACTAAGATACTGGCTGGAGCTTTACTACATGACACTACATCAATAAGCATGACGGAGTGTGACTGACACCACGACGTCAACTCGCTCATCTCGAACTGAAATAAACAAAGCAGTGACAACATGGAGATGAACGGGAAGAAAATTGATCTTACCGTTAATATTTCATGGTGAGACAAAGCAAGATTTAATTCAGACTTGTTATATGGTAAGGTGCAGTTTTTAAATGGACTTGGAAGTTTACTGGAAGTAAACTGAGATTTTACTGTAAAGGATGATGTAATTTGGTGCAAATTAAAAGCAGTTTTCAGAGGGATTTCCCTTGAAGAATCATTCAATTTTAGCTCCAGGAAAAAATGTTTTAAACGTTCATCTATTACTGTAAACTTATATCATATTGTGCAAACATTTTAGGCACATTGAGATTATTATTGGTCATGCAATGCCATCAAAGAAACATCTGCAGCAGTGAAATGAGGAAATATATCTTGGAATAATTGTGTTCTCTACTCTGGACTAAGTCCAACACTGTACTGAGACACTTTATGATGTTTTTCCTTTATTTTGTCACTCATGTTTTACGCTGTATGACAGAAGGAGCAGTAAGTCCTACAACCGACGTATAAAGCCCTGATCTCAACATCTTAATCAAGTCAAGTCAAAGTAAATCACACAATGCACAATTAAAACAACAATTCTTTCAAGTAAAATAAATCATGATTCGCATTACAGATTGACTTAACAAGACAATATATCGGCGTTAGGACCCTATAGTGTTTTTATTATGTGATTTTACCAGAGAAATGTACGTCTTATGAATTAAAACCCTACAAGAATGATACAAAATACTACCATACCTGACTATAACACATATTAAAGCTGAGAATTACTAATTATAGAGAACAACCTAATTAATGCATTAATGTAGCTAATATCTAGGGCATTATAAATTATGGAACTTAACCTACCTAATCAAAATTTTAAGGCTAAGACTCTACATCAGTAGTAATTATTGAGATTAAGCTGATTATTTCAGCGATGAAGCCAACCCAACAAACAAACCCAACAAATCCAAGGATTTCCTGGAATCACTGAGAAGGTTTGCATGTTTAGTCAGTCTCATGAAGTGACAGAAGACGTTGAAAGATACTCAGAGCAGTTTATCTGCTCAGTAACTTTAATAACATTTACTAGGTGCTTCCACTTCCTGCATGTCCACGTCTGTGGAATACCTCACCTCCAGCTTTTTAGTGCTCATAAGCTTTCTGCAAAATAAATTTGACCTCAGGCTCATGCTGAAATAATCCTGATGACACCACTATGGCATCATCAGCTCTTCAAACTCTGGAAAAGCTCCTGCAGAGCCACAGAAGTGATTACACAGCTGTTTTCATCGGCTTTCATCTTCCTGGAGAGTAAACTGAACACGACACATGAAAATCGGTTGAGTGCTCCTTTAATTAATTAGAATTAACGATATAGGAGTGTAGCATCTGAATACCGCATAATAAGTACCAAATTATGAGGTTCTTTCCAGTGCAACTGCTAGTAAATTATCGGAAACTTATAGAGCAGCAAAATAAAACATCGCAGTGCTTTATATTACTGAGAATACTTTTAGTTACCTGTCTACAAACAATAAAGAACGAATGAAAGGGTTTCCTTTTATTGTACTGTGTGCGTCGTGAGACGCCTGTCTGAGCAAACACACAATAGATTCATGGCTGTAATGTGCACGTGCTGTTTGCGTGATGCGATGCTACTTACACCATCGGCCGGCTCCGGAACACCTGCAAAAACAAAACCCAAAAGAAAAAGAGTTCAGGAAACAAAGGGAGTCTAAAGGATTGAAGTTGGGCTTGTGCACTCCCATGAACAGCGCTCAGTTCCCAGGAAACCGGGAGCTTATCATCATTGTGCACATTCATACTAATATGTTCACGCTAATAAAGTCTTTTCCTACATGTGAGTCTCTCCGTAGGACACACAGTGCAAAGAAACGGCTTTTTCCCTCACTTCTGCTGCATCATTGTGCGACACCGTTAGTTATTCGGCGCTCATGCTGAACAATGGACAAAAAGTTACTCCCATGAGTATCAAACAATCAAGTGTGTTGCTCACTCTGTCTTAACGGATGCACACACTGTTTGGCTCTCGCTAGAACAGGAAGCTCTCTTTGACGAAAGCAGGACGTGGACACCTGGAGACTGGGCCTTCTGTTTTAATGGCACATTCTTTCACTAACAATGCAGATGTTTACAGTTGGGCTTGATCCAGTTTCCTGGTGCTTTCAGTTTTTTTTCTTTTCAAAATGCCACTGACCTGATTTCTCTCACTGTGTAACATAAAAGGGATCTGAATGAAGACAAGGATGTTTGTCTTACCTTGCTGGGAGTTGCGTACTTCGCTGTACACCGTGTCTGTGCCCTGTTTCACCGGAACTGACATGGAACAAATTACTTTAGACTGTGTTTTTAGGGTCAAATGATAAAGCGTTTCTGAAAAAAAACTCAGGAGCTCTCTCACCTCTGTTAGGATCCGCCTGTCTGGTCTGCACCTCAGTGTACTCTGGTTCTTGCTTCTCTGGAATGATCGCGCTAATCTGGTCATCAGACTCTGCAGTGAAATACAGTTAACAAACTTAAACTTCAAAATTTACAGTGTAACGTAATATTTAATGAATAAAATCAACAGTAAACTGATGCTACTAAGAAGTATTCGGCCTATCTGTGAAGCTAAAGTATTATTTAGATTATTCCTCTGTGCCAGTGACTAAAACAGATCAATTAACTGCACTGGGTCAGTGCCAGAGGTGTTTGTTCAACATAATTCAATTGAAAAATGGGTTAAAAATCACTTCAGAAACAGCTTTGCATAGACGCAAGTGAGTGCTGCAGAATGGTCTGACTGCACCTCATTATCATTCTGCTGTTGGAGGGAAAATGCCCTGACTTGTTTTTAATTTGTTTAAACCAATCACAGTCACCTCAGGCAGAGCTAAGTCAAGGCTGCAACGATGGAGATCTTTTAAAATAGCGATGAGGGGATTGTCTTGGTGGAACATTTGCACTCAGGGGGACGAGCACTGACATCAAAGTTGATAATTTATTGAGAAAACCAGCAACACAAATACTCTGCAAGTTATGATGCTGCAAGGAGGTTGTTGCATTTTGAGTTAATCTACATACTTGTCTTAAATACAATATTTACTCCTGTTTGAGTAACATTTGGTAAACGTTACAATGCCCACAGCTTTAAAAAATCAAACTAATACACTTGTGATTAGTTCTGAAGATTTACGTCTTCAGAAAGTACAACTGGACGCTGAGTCATGCTAGACAAGTCCATAAGCACTGGGCGACCGACAAACACATTGTTGGCTTTGGTCCTTTCATGGGACTTGGTGACAGTAAAAAACAATAATGCAGCCTTATCCTGAGACAGAAATATGAATAAAAGTAAAAACTGTCTTTTACTCACCAGAGCCTGATGTATGTTCACTCCAGATACTTTTCCCCATCATACCAGGAGTTACTAGACAAAGAGGACATCTATTAACTATTTTTAAAAAATATTTTTAATATATATTTTTTAAAATATATTTTGATTTTCTTTATTTTTTGCATTTTTTAAAAATTCTCTTTGCTATTTGATCAGATCAAATAGCAAAGAGAATTAAAAAAAGCGTATCAAACGAGCTCAGGTCTTAAGAAGTTAAAGCTTCAAAATCAGTAGAGAGAATGCTTGTTTAATATCTCACTAAAGCACATTTTGGTCATGCAGCTCTGTATTTGTGTCAGTATTAGATAATCTACCGTTTGCGGCGTCGTTGACCTCGGCCTGGGTGAGGCTCAGTCGCTCTGCTTTGGTGCTGGCCGACTTCCTAAGACGAGGTCGACACAAAACACAATCAATGGGAGGGTCCATGGGCGTCGCGCTCTTGCAACTCACATAACTTCACCTTTAAAACACAGATTTCTGATAAGAACATGATAAATATTACTTACACCAACAGCTTGGCGCTACTTTTCCTCCTGAAGTGAAGGAGCCGTGTCTTGAAGGCAATAACAAGGATCAAGGCCAGTAGGACGAGGACGCAGAAGGCTGCGATCAGACCTTTCTTCCATCCGGCCAACTTCACTGCAGAGCACATTTGAAATTAGATGCACGCAACAGTATGATTATTACATTCTCGCTTAATTATAACACACAACATTAAGAATTTTCCTAAAAATATTCTGCTTCATGTAGTCTAACTCTCACTTCTTGTGTCCAAACAAATGTACAATAACTGAATTCATTTTTTATTTCATGTTTATACAGTTGATTCTATAACTTCACCTACTGCAAAGATGAACGTGTGCCTGGATGCAAAAATGCAAAGTAACGCAAATTCTAACATCTATTTTAAATATCTGCTGTATTTATTATTCTATTTAAATGTTCACAGGTCCTATACGTCACACTCGTAATGATACATTTCTTTATATTCTAATTGATCTCCATCCTAATAAATGCCGAGTCAGAAAACAACCCTAATGGAACCACCTTTTTTTTTTTTTCTAATGAGCTTGTTTTTGTTATACAGTACTACATTTACAGTTTCTTCATAATATTTCATGCTCAATAAATACTGTTTTACAACCTGGAACTCGTCAGTCTCACTACTTTCGAAAGCAGGAAAAACTGCTTACATGTGGTTGCTTGTTGAAAATGCATGATCAAGTATACTTTTGTTTTTACACATCTTCACATAAATATCATCTCTTCTCAAGACCATTTTGATTCCAATTGGTAGGCCATCATTACTACCGTTAACCGAAGATGAAACGCACCTCCAACTGTGACAGGGCGACTCCGTTTGGTTTCGTTGGCGACGTTTGTGCTCACGCAGTAGTACGTTCCTCCGTCTTTTCCCGTCACACTGCCTATGCTGTGGCATTCCTGACGTGTACTGGACATTCGTGTAGCTAGAACTCTGGCTGTCTCAATGTGGTACCAGGTGAAGTTGATGGGAGGACTGCCGCTCTTAACGGAGCAGACCAGAGTCATGTTGTGTCCCTCTGTGACGCCCCCAATGCTGGGAAGGATGTCCAGCACTGGTTCTGACACAGGCTCTGCAAAGAGTAAAATGTGCGTTAGACCAACAGTTCAACACGTTTTGTGGTTGCATCGTTGTTATCCCAGAACACACCTATGATGATGGTCGAACGCAGCAGCTGCACCCCCGACACTTCCTTCGGAGGCCTGCCTTTGCCGTTTCTAGCGTGGCAAAGGAAGTTGTTCAAGTTGGAGCTCTTGGAGATGGCTGTGACGTTGAAGATGGCCTTCTCCCCCGGCTTCGTCACCTCCTTTTCCTTGGGCGGACTGTTAGGGCCGTGCAGGGTGTATGTGATGGGCAGAGTGCCACTGTGGCTGTGACAGAGCAGCTGGAAGCGCTTTCCCAAGAACAGCGTACCACCCACCACAGACATCACGGGCTTCGAAACGGGAACTAGGAACAAAACAAAGAAACAGAAACACAAAGTTGTCTGTGGGGCTGCAACACAGTGCTTTGAGCTAAGCAGGTATAGTTTACTGAAACACAAAATACAGCTGAGGGTGATGGAAATGTCTAGTTTTGGTCATAGTTTACGCTCTACTTTGATCAGAAACCAGGGCAATGAGCAAACTGCAGGTCAACCAACACAGGTTTTTCAGTACTGATGCTATATGCTGATATTTAGAGAGCAGTGTGACAGTGTTTAGCACCTCACAGCAACAAGGTTTTAGGGTTTCAATCTGCTGCTGTGGAGTTTGCATGTTCTTGCTTTGCCCACTTGGGTCTTCTCCACGTCCTCTGGCTTCCTCCCAAAGTCCAAAAAACAAACATGTCAGGCTAACTGACGATTCTAAATTTGCTGTAGGTGTGACTGTGAGCATGCATGGCTGCTCTTGTCTACAGGATAAAGCAGGTATAGCTAATGGGTGGATAGATGGAGGCTGATATATGGTGCCAATGCCATGCTGTGTACTTAGCACATAGCAGCATCTCTTATTACTAGTCTGGGAAATGTATTGTGTCGCCTCCTGTTCATACATCTTAGTTCATCTAAAGAGACTAAATACAATGCAAATAAAAAGTATTCACACCCCTTGGAAGTTTTCCCCGTCATTCCTATTCAGCATTGGACTATAGTGACTTTAATGAGGCTTTTTCGACAAGAATTTACAAAAAACATTTGCTGAAAAGATTAATCATTTGACATTACTTTGTCGAAATCTCCCTTTGACATTTTTTTAAAACATTTTTTTTGAAATTCTTGTCAAAAAAAAAAGGCAAATTAAGCTGACCTTGATTCAAAAGCAACAAAATGGGAAAACTTCCAAGGGCAGTGAATATTTTTTGTAGGCACAATGTCTCTGCACAGCGACTAATTTTGAATTGCAAATATTCGCTTGCTCTACTCAAGCGCCTGTTTTGATGAGTTCACTGATAATTTTAGAATGAACTTATATTAATTGGTCTACCACGAGAGAAAACTAAAATTTGACTTCATAGTTGCACCAGATAAAGGGGAAGAATCATCACAGTTGATTCAGTCTTCTCTGGAGGGACAGAAATGTTATCTCTATTGTGATAATTGTTTTTTTAAATTAGATTTTTGATTGTTTATTTGCTGTGAACATCACAATTACACTGGACAAACCAGATGTACTGTTTGAGTGTTTTAGCACATGTGCTAATTCCCAACACTTGTCCACAGGAGGCTTTTAAATGATAAAAATAATAAAATTAATAGGAAAAGAAAAAAAAGAGAGAGAAAAAAACAGTCTACAATAACATTACTACAGTAAAAGAGAGGCAGTTCATCAGATTAAATACATATGTAAGCTACAAAGCAAAGGCAGCATGGTCAAGCAATCAACTAGTTAAAGCTATTCATGTGAGCACTGTTGTTTTGATTGTCACCATTGTTCGAGTCCTTTGTTAAAAGCATTACTGTTGCTCTCTAATTTTAGATTCGTGAGTAGAAAGTTCCAGAGTTTGGCCCCCTTTAGAGAAAGAGCAGACTGACAGAATGAAGTCCTATATCTTGGGACAACACAATCCCCACTGGTGGAGGCTCGAGTGGTCGCTCTGTGAGAGCTCTGAGGTCTGGTGGCTAATTCAGACAACAGTAGTGACGCATGATTATTTAGACATTTAAAAAACAATTTACAGTTCTAAAATTCACAAAATGTTCAAAGGTAAGAAGGTGGTGTTTTCTTGAAATGCGACAGTGATGCCATCTCATTGGTTTCCGGTCCATGAGTTTCATTGCCTGCTTGTATGTTGAGATTATAGGTTTTAAAGTGGTTGAAGAAGCTTGTGACCATGAAATGATGCAATATGAGAAAAAAATCGTTGCATGCATGTACAGTTTTGCAGCTTGATATGGCCGGTTCCTTCTAATAAAAACAAAGCAGTTAAGATTTGGTCTAACCTTGTTGCAGATGTACTTAACCTGACTATCAGACTTTAAGGTCTTATCCAAGATGACGCCTATACTTGATCTCATTCACTTTATCGATGATTTCCTTCTTAATCCTGACCTCAAATCCATCATGTACGGGCCCAGTACATATGGAGACGCACATGGATACAGATTTTTTTAACACTGAGAGTTAGATGGGACAACTCGAGCCTTGTAGCTTCAGTTGGCCTGATCAAAGTCTTGCTGTGTGCCTGATGACTCACCTTTGGCTTTAATAACAAGTTTTGGGCTTTCTTTAACAAAATTGTGCATCTGAGAGGCAGCATGGACTTTACAGGTGTAGTTGCCATTTTTATCCCGGTGTGCCACGGTGCTGTATGTCTCTGCACCGGTGAGTCTGGCGTTATCTTTATAGATGGAGAATCGCATGGTTGCATTGTTGATCTTGTCAGGAACGTAAATGGAGACGGAGCAGGTGAGTTCGAAGCGGTCGCCTTCAAATATGTCCGCGGGCTCCACAGTCAGCCGTGGCTTTGAAAGCAGCTCTGTTGGGATGTCAAAAACCAATCATTTTGCACTCTTTATACAGGTTATATTTTAATCATCACAACTTTGAGATAATGTCATATCAGGTGTTTAACAAGGGTGCTTGCCTCTGACTGTGATTGTCTGATAGGTCTCTTTCTGCACGTTGCCCCACTCCGCTTTGCACACAAGCTCCCCAGAATCTCCTTCCTGAGCAGTGAATCGATGACTGAGCGCCGCGGCTGAAGCCTGCTTGAGGATCATCCTGTTTTTCGTCAGGAATACCTCAATGTTGCGCAGTGGACTGGTCACCACTCGGCAGTACACCTCCAGTATGTCACCCTCGAAGACGTCATTGGAGGGCTTCACATTCATTATGGGGGTAATGTTGAGAACTGAAAGACACAATTCAGAATAGTCAGCCGAAACCCTTCGACCAAGCAGTTGGATCTCCCAGTGCAGCGTTTGATCTAATCACCTTTAATGATGATGTGAACCTCTTCGCTGCTGTTGGAGCGTCTGGTCCCGGAAACCAAATTGATCTCGTAGTCACAGGACAGAAAACAGTCTCCGATGTGCCTCAGTCTCAGTGTGGTCTCTGATGTGTTCCCGGTGGTTGCCAGCTGCTTTATCCTCTGAGGCTCTCCATTCCTAAACCTCTGGTAAAACCGGAATATGAGAGGTCCTTTCTCCTCCGCAGCTCTGCAGGTGGCTATGAACTCCTCATTCTCATAGGGTGAATAATTATTCAGGTACAGACTCGGAGTCTGCAGGCCTGGGGATGGGGAAACCCAATGGGACAGTGAAAACGTGCTCTGCACAATGATTCTCAGTCAGATATAGAGCTATAGTATTCATATTTGAGCTGTCTGGGTATGAGAAATATACTGTTCTTGGGTGTTGCCAAAATGTAATTTAAACAGGACTTACAATAGCTAAAGTAGCTTATAAATGTTGGCAGAAATTCAAAAATTCAAGGAACATTAAACTGTAACTTAAATATACAAAAAGAAAAAAGTGTTATACTTGTTGTCCTACTAGTATTGTTATGACGTTTTCCCCAACTGTGATGATATACTTTCTTCATTTTGTCTAATATTTCTTTAAAAAAACAACAAAATTTAATGAACAATGATATCTGATTTGGTCCTACAAGTGTTATTATGACTTTTTCCCCAACTGTGCTGTTATATGGAAGAGCTTTAGTTATATTTTTCATTCTGTCATAACAAACTACATCATAGTTGCCAGACAAATGCAATACTTTTTAAAAAACAACAAAAACTTCATTATCACCGCCATCTGATTTGGCCCTACAAGTATTATTATGACTTTCTCCCAACTGTGCTGATATACTTTCTTCATTTTGTGCCATATTTGTTAAAAAGCAACAAAAACTCAACTGACACCACCATCTGATTTGGTCCTACAGGTATTATTATGACTTTCTCCCAACTGTGCTGATATATGGAAAAGTTTTTCATTTTGTCATATTAAACTACATCACAGTTGCCAGAAAAATGCAATATTCCCTAAAAAAAAAACAACAGGAACTAACTTGTGTTCAGCTGTACCTGTGACGTCAAGTCTCTGGCTGTTGCTGGCTTTGCTCTTATCCTTGACTGTGACTCGACATTCGTAGGTTCCAGAGTCAGCAGCTCTGGCTTGGTTGAGCTCGTATACGACTGAATCTTCTGTGGTGTTGTAGGAGTGGATCTGAACGTCGTCCTTTGTAATCTGGAATTTGTGCGTCAGGTGAGGGATGTTGTTGTGACTGACACTGGCCTGGCAGCGTATCTTCACCGCCATCCCGCTCTGAACCGAGCTGCTGGGTAGGATTGAAAGGCCAACGGTGTCTATAATGTACGCTGCAATTCCCAATGGCAGAAATGCACAAACATGCACATAAATTAGAAAAGAAACAATGAAACCGACAAACAGCAGTCAGGTGATGACAAGAGGAAGACGCTCGCTGGTTCTCAATCTGCTGCAGAGTAAACAGGAGCCACTGAGGGAGAGGGAAGGCCTCAACAAACAACGTCTGACCCTTTGCTTTCTCTGGGAAAGCTGTGTGGATTTATCCCAGCTTCTGCTCGCCCTCACCGAAAACAACAGTGTATCCGGAAACAATCACTTTGCACACATCCTTAAAGTGCCGCTGTTAGTTTGGGCTCAGTGATGTAGATTGACTGAGGCATCGGCTGCAGAAAAAGTTCATCCTATGTAGAGGGAGAAAGTTCAGTCTTGAGTTTGGGAGCAGTGATTTGACCACATGCACACTCTGAATTGGTTGGGATTAGGATTATTTTGTGAAATGTCTTATATTTAAAGAAATAATCAACATCTTTTCAGCAAAAATGAAAGATTACAGAAAAAACTCCAGAAACTAAACAACAGATTTGTGTATTGATGCTTGTTTTTTTTTCTTTCCTCTCCTATTAATCATGTAATTAATGAGCCCCTCAGATTTCACTGTGTACAAAGTAGTTTAAACGTTTGCTGCTAACATTTACATACTTTGGCTTAGAATTTTTCACATTGTTGTTCACTTAAGCAAAGGATCTTCATGCTTCTTTCACCAGTGATTAAATAAGATGGATACCACCGTCATGTCCGTGTGGTAAACAGGAAGCCACATCAGTACAAAAACTGAAATTAAACAAAAATTCACAATTTTTAGGCGGCTATTTCTTCACAGGAGCAGTAACTTCCTGGAGTCTCCACCGGTTTCTTACAACCTCATGTTGATAACAAGATGTCAGCGGGTGGATTTTGTTACCTTAGTACAAGAGTTTCCCCCATTTTCCAGTCTGCATGCCAAACTAAACTAATTGGCTGCTGGCTGTGGCAGACACAACAGAGGCATCAGTTTTCTCATCCAACATTTGTTTACCTAAATGGCAATTTATTCTGTTAAGAGACCAACTGCCTCTAGTTAAGAAACCCCAGCTACACTTTGGAACAAGAAGAAAACAAGAAGAAGAAATTAGCAGCTGAATTCAAATTTGTGTCGTTTGAAAGCTGTTACAAAGTTCATCTAAGCTCATGCTGATGTGAAAGATTAACCAGCGTCACCTGTGACAATTAAAAATAACTTCAATGAATCTCGCTGAAGAATTGAAAATCTCAAGGAGGCCAGGGGTGCACAGAACAATGCCCACTTCCTGCAAAAAATAACTATTTTTTTTTGGTGGTATAAATAGCTCACTTTTTGAATACAAGGAGGACTGAAAAATCTACAACCGTCTCAACTAGTTATTAAATAAGAGTCAAATACACAGTTGTACTTACAAGACTGTCCTCTGGCACATTGCACTGTGTTTGGAGGAAAGAGAGAAAAGACAAGTGTGAATCAGGGGATTAAACGCCATCCTTTATCCATAAAGCAGCACAGCAGTGGGTCCTTACAGATGTGTAAGAGGCCGGTGAGGAGCAGCAGCAGGCCGGGGGGTCCGGAGCTCATCCTGAGTGGAGGTGGTTAAGATGCAGCTGCAGTGGGCAGACGAGGCCGAGGCCAGAGAGGGCAGTCGAAGGGACAGGGGAGGACCTCACCCAGGGAGAGGTGGAGTGAGCCGAGGACAAACTCTGCTTAAGGCAGTGGTGGTACTGAGGGGGTGTTCCTCGCCTTATCGCTCCTTTTTGCTGCTCTGCTGAACAGGATGTGGCTGTTACTTCCTCAGGAATCGAGCATTTACTTTACTGTTTTTATTAGTGGGCGAGAAAATTCAACAATAAGAGGGAGACCTTTCAGCCCTCTGACCTAACATCCTCCTCACTTCTTGCTCAGCACTGATAGGGTGTTTCCTATTAAAGGACAACCATCTTGAACAATGACTGTAACAATGTGCAGCCACATTTCAAAAACACAGGTAAATACTATGAAATGTGGTGTGTTTTTGGAGTGATAATGTGATAAAATGATGATGCGAATTGAACAAAACATCTTCAACAACAGTTAAAAAAAAGCACCATTAAGATTAGCAACATGATTAAGGAGGTAAGAACATTATAGATAACTTTACACCTAACACTGACATGAAGTTAAACCCTTTCCCCTTGTTTCTAACATACATTTAATAGACTTTAATTTGTCATATGTGGCTTTTCAAAAAAAATGCTAAACACAGTTGGTTAGAGCTCATTTCTGGATCATAAACATTAAAACGCATCCCAGGGAATGTTGCCTGAATGTCCCCTAAAGGTTCCAGTTTTTCAGGGATTGCTATTTACTGTACATGTCTGCAATTCACAGCAGTGACCTTCATAGAAATACCGGAAAATCTAGTTTCAGTATTAAATAGTAAACCTTATCTTCTACAATAGAGTGCTGTAATCAGTTATACAGTAATGAACCAATTAAGAAAATTACAACTGCACTATAAAAATACAGCTGCCAGTATTTTACTGTAATTTGACAGTGATGTTTGGATCTGAAACCTTTAGAGGCTCAACAGTAGCGCCACAGACAGTCCGATCAAAACAACAAACACATCAGGAATTATGCAACAACCTAAAGACTGTGCTTCTGTTTCCTCGGCTCACTTTCTTTTTCTTTAATTATTTACATCATCTGCTGTTCTCAGTCGGACTGCAGGGATTCCTGCTGATCCACCCTCTAATTAAATATATTAAACACTTCTTTGACAGCATCAACCAACACCTCATCTTCTCTCCGCTGCTCACCGAGCCCTTGTTAAAGCTGAGATCAAACGGTGATGGAGCTACAATCAATATAGGACAAAGAAGATGATTTTTTTTTTTTTTGCAAAGTATTAACAGCAGAGAGCTCTGTGATGATTTATATATGATGTGCATCATCAAGGGAGAAAGACAAAACATAAAGGAATGCCAGATCAAATTATTGCAGCTACAGCTCGGGATATCAACCCTTCACTTCATCTACGATTCGGTTAGTTTGACACAAGTACATTGCAGTGTACTTATCATAAATGTGTTTCCTCATCAGATAAAAAAAGCCCTGGGCTACGGGACACCTTTGGGAAACAGTCACTCAACTTATTACCACCATATCCAATATTTAGAACGCAATAAATCACAGACCGCAGTTGCAATTTAAACTTTTGTTGTTACAAATGCACAGCAGTGCAAAGACTTTAATATGGTGAAGGCAGCTGAATTTGAACTTGCGATTATGCAATGTTGTGCAGCATCTTGCAACCTTTAACTGTGACCACTAAGAGGTGCTGAAGATTAACAGAAAACAGGTGACTCAGAACTCTCATGGTTCATCCTCCTGCTTTATCTGCATTATGCTACCAGTTGCTTTCATTTTTCCACACAATGTACACACAACAAATGTCTTAGGCTGCACAGAGATGCTTTTTATTTTACATACAGGAGGAGGTGCCATGTTATTCCTAGACAAACTAACTCTATCTCAGCGTATCGTGATTAATAGCATCAGTAGAGTCTCCTTTTCCTCATGCTTGTGTTCGTTAACAGCTGGAAATTGCAAGCAAGATAAGTAGGCAAGGCAGCATTTTGAAGGGCACCCTGCTGTGCGTTCTAATCATTTAAAATCATCATTTAAAAAAAGATTACTTGCATAAATAGCAACACATAAACTTGAAGAATTGGACCCACAACACATGTAGAGTTCTGTCTGGCTTCCACAAATCAGAACTTTGTCCACATGAACTTGAACACGAATGTAAATGTAACTTTTAGAAGGGTTTAGATGAGGAAATGAGGGGAAACAGATTGCGGCCCTGTGTCAAGTTGCCAAGGTAACAAAGGTAACCAAATCCACCTGGATTTCCAGCAGGCTAGCTTCCCATCGTCAGTCAGCCATGCAAAGCTGCTTCAATTTCAGACCGTTATTAGATATTCTTGAGAAAGCAGATAATCATAACTGAATCAGTATGCATGACGTTACTCTGCTCAACTTCTGCTTCCAGTGCCGTTTTCTCTTCATATTATTCAAAAATATGAACCCAAGTAGATGGTTTTCTTTGAAAGTTGTGTGATAGATCATGCAAACATACCCATCATGCACCAGTATGAGCTCATTGTAGTAAACAGCTGAACTCTATGGAATATATAGCAGCCGGAAAGCATTTATCCACGCTTCCCACTGCTCTGCATGAGCCCTCTAGTCTTGGGGCTGTGATGGTGCTGCTCAGTGGTAATCACTCGATAACTTAACATCTTGAAATTTCAGCTTTGTGTCTTTTAAAAAGACTAACTTCTAAAAACAAAACGATTCAGCTGGACGAGTGTAGCGTAAGACAGTGTCTGCATGAGTTGACTGTATCTTCACAACTGTACGGAGTGTGTTGCGTCGAAAGCAGTGATTGATGATGGCCGTGGCAGCACCACTGACACCGTCAGCTCCTGGTGGGTCCAGGGCGGTGCTGTGATTGATGCGTTCGCTCTGGGCTGTATGCTGCTCGCAGTTCTTTTAAACAGGTTCTATGTCGGCCACATACAATAGTATGTTAATGTGTTAAAACTGAACAACTGCAATGAGGCAGTTCATGTATGAAGTTTTTATTATGAAAGAGAGAATCAGGGCGGTTGCACCAAGAATCTGCAGCACAGTGGAAGAACACAAGGTCCTCACTTGGGTCAACGTCAACCAGTTTACAATAAACCTGAGTCACTCCTTCTCGTAGAATATCTTAGAGGCTGTAACACCATCTAACCTTGCTCCTTCCACGGTTGGTTGGTTTGTTATTGACAGAAGAATGTGTAGGTGGCACTGAAAAAACACAGAGAACGAAGCACTGTATGGTGTTACATGTAAATCCATGAGATAAACGTTTACAGCTCACTTCAATCACGAATAATAAAACCTTCCCCAGAGACCATGTCTACATATTAAAAAAAAAGTTCACGAATCGCAAATGGGTTTGTGTGCGTAAAAAGCTTCCTTAAAGGAATTTCAGACCGAATATCATGGACGTACTGATGAGCTCTAAATTACACAAGGACAATCTACCGTAATACATGTTACTCTAAATAGGAGGAGAAAAAGAGGAGATGAGTAAAAATCCAATTTAGACTTTATTTGGGCCTATGGGAAATGTTGCTGGGTAATAAAACACTCCAGTGAAAGACATGAGATGGGAAATGTGTTTCTGCTCTCAGGCAAGAATCTACAGGGCCTAATTACAAGCAATCAACTCCGGCTTCGAAGAAAGTCTGGCACGTACATCCGTGCTATTGTAGTTTCAGGCGACACATTTCTGAACAAATGGTTTTTTAGAGAAGGAAGAGGAGAATTCCGTGTAAGACAGCGCCTCTGTGCTGTATGAAAAACATTAATCTGGTTGGCTGTCGATACGTCTGACTGACTTTTGCCCCCCCGACAGCCAAATGTTGACTTTACAAAGTCACTCTCCATCTTCTCCTCCTCGGCGTGGTGCGCTTTGACAGAGTGCAGCCAGTTGCGTCCCCAAAGACCTTGTGCTCCTCGCGGTGGGGAGGATGATCCAAGACGGGGGACACAGTTGATGAGCTGTGACACGGAGATGTTTCTGCCTGTGGCACAACAGCCTGCAGGAGGCAGCGAGTGTGTTGCTACAAGGCAAAGCTTTGAGGCTTCCTGCACTACACAACCCTCATGCCCGACCTCACCTCCATCTTCCTCTCTGTGCGTTCAAGTGTCATGAATATACTGTCTATTCAAATGCCTTTAAAACTCCTGCTTCCGTCCCTCCAACTACCACATTTTCTCTAAATAGGCCTTATGATTGACTTTCTCCCACTCTTCCCGTCTCGCTGAGTCCTCTTCGCTCCACCCACCTCATGTGTGCTGAATCAATAATAAATGATCTGAGAGGCTTGGCTGTGACAGGCTCTCTGCATCGACTCTCTCAGGGTTACTGGGGGAGAGTCAGACAAAGCTCCGGGTGCTGGAGCAGCAGCGGGTTTACAGTAGGACAATGAAGCAGAGGAAAGTCATGCTCATTGTTCCGTACTGCGGAACATTATCGGAGATCTTTCACGGATGTGTGCATCAAGGCACAGCCGGTTTCCGAACCTGCTCCTCGATGCGCCACGTGTACTCTCGGTGTGCAGTGCGTGGACAGCTCCATTTGAAAGCCCATGGGGGGGCTGCTGCTCTGAGACGCCCGCTGTGGACTCACTCCTCCACTAAAACCTGGATCCAAGGCCTCCTGTGTTCACACGCTGGTTTGAACATGAGCCTACTTTTTCTTTCTCCCTCTCTTCCCCCTTTGTTGTCGATACACTTGTGTTAGAGCCGTCCTGCTGAAGTGTCCTTGAGCAAGACACGACAGGGGTGCACATCCTGGAGAGGCAGCAAGAGAGACAGCCACATCTGGGGGACTCTCAGAATCTATTATGCAGACATCAAAGAACATAAAAACTAATTGCCCTGTAACTCAATCAGTTCTTCTCGTTTTCTTCTCCCCCGTATCAAAGAAAGATGTCTTTTGATGGAGAGAACTCTAAAAGTGCAGCCAGGTTTCCAGGTTACAGTCTCTTCATTGCTCCACACACAGTAAATCTTATGTTTTTTTGTCTGCTGCAATCTCTCTCTGTCTGCCCCAGTGGACATTTAAGTCAACTGCATTTGTTTCTTGTACTTTTCATATTTTGTTCAACCACGTTTTCCACCTCAGCTCAAAGTACAAACTTTTTTATGATACTTAGTTTT